TAAAAAAAAACTCTAATTTAATTATATATTCGTCAACTTGATTTTTATTTAATGTTTAAAGACTGATCTTGATTGTATTTTTTTTATAAACAAGGCCAAGTAACAATCCGTGTATGATGCTTGACGCCTTAGACCAGTTCGAGAGAGAGAGAGAGAGAGAGAGAGAGAAATTGAGAGAGACGGCATTGATTGTGAATTAGCTACATTTAGTTTGAGATGACGTCATTGATTGTGAATTTGTGATGAGGACATATTGAGAGGGCTATTGGTTACCAAAGAAATAAGCAAACCCATTGGTATACAATGCTGTACTGTACTTCCAACACAGAGAAAACCACGAAACTTGTATATCCTAAATAAATCCAACGTGATATTACAACTTGATAGATATAATTAATCTTTACACTTAAATATATTTTTGGAAAAGAGTAGTGATACTTATACTGAAAATTTAGTAAATTGTATAATTAAATAATTTTTAATTGACTATTTATATAAAATATAATTTAATGATGTGTTTTATTTTATTTTTTATTACATAATTGACTAATTAAAATAATAGATTTAGTAATTTATTGTAACTATTCGGTATAAGAATTATTATTTTTATTTATAATTAATTCAAATTTATATGAAAAAAGAGATTCACACGCTCATTAGTATGAAGATTTAAGCTAGTCCTCACCTTTCAATTTAAAAATAAAATAGATATCACTATATAATAAATGTTAATACAAGAAAAAATGAAAGTATGTGGATATAAAGACATCATTGTATTTGTTTATTAGAAACAATGGGCTTTGAATTTTAAAATGAGTTTGGAATGGAGTGGATTTGAAGGGATGTCAAATTCAAAATTTAATGAAAAAATTGTCTTATTCCATGAAATATGTAACTTACTCGAGCAGAATTTCCCGCTTATCCAATTCGATCATATTTACAATACTATCTTAAATTTTATTTTATTCCAAAAGAAAAGACAAAATTTAAGATAAATGCTTGGTATCCCTTTTATTTTTATTTAAAAAAATATGTTTGATAAAATATGTTTTATTTTGTACAGTATCGACATGTTTTGTGAATGGTGACTAAAAATCAAAATATCAATTTGATATTTTTACATATTTCTAACACCCGTATACTGTAGTGATGAACAGTTAAAAAAATTAAAAATACTAAAATAACATTTTTTAACTCACCATTATACTTTTCAAACTTACAACACTGCTTTTTTACCAAACATGTTTCATATTTTTTTTTCAAAAATCTTATAACAAACGAACATTACCGAACATTCTTCCGATTATAATTCAAAACATTTTATAACAAAATACTTATTTTGTTTTGAGTTCAAACAAAATGTTAAAGTGATAAAAATTGATTCAAGACTACTATAAAAATTTTAAATTAATAGTATGCTTTAATCTCCGCTCCTCCTAGCAAACAAAGTAGGTGTTATCATCTTTCATTTTCTTTCATTCAACCAAATATACAGAGAGAAGAATACTATTCTTTTCTCCAAGGGTGTCTTATCCATCTGTTCTTTTATATTCTATCTCCCTTTCTTTTTTTTTTCTTTTTTTTTTTTTCTTCTTACCAAGACAGCATAAAAGAAAATATTATCAATGGCTATTCTCACAACCATGCTACAATTAATGTTAGAGATATTAATTCCCTCCAACTCACTTCACCGTTGACTGTTGTTAAGAGTTAAATCACTCATTTATCACACACAGTGAAAGTATCACCATCACATCATTGTATAAGCATATATGGACACCACAATTATACAAGCACAAACCAGGCTAATGGCCTAGTGGTACCAAACTCCTATTTTCCAAAGAGATGTCAGAAATTCAAATCTCGGTAGATATATGTGTGTGTGAGTACCAACTAAAAAAAAAATTATTATACAAGCACAACACCTCCATAGAAAAAATTAGAGAGGATGACTGAATTTATTCTAAAAAAAATTATTATATTTATTTATAACTTTAATTATAAATTATTTATGCATTTGTGATTGGACCATATCAACAACAAACATAAATACTCTTACCCTTATACTATTAAGGCTACATCTTTAAACGCATCAATTATATATATATATTCTACTCACAACACTCACATTTAAACCATTATATCTTTTCTCCCTCTCTATCCTAATTTTTCACACCCATCTTTGTTCACAAAGTCTTCAATCAAACTCAATTTTTTATTCAACATAATTCCTTGCCTTTCATACAAAGAGTTGCTATATCAATTTTTAATTCTAGAATAACAACTTAATCAAATTCAACTTCCTCCACAAATTTCAGTATTTCAATATATATATATATATATATATATATATATAGTCATCTGCTCACGCTATCGAACCCCAAACCCAATAATTAATTGGATTGAGAGACTATTGACTCAGCTTAACAGTTTGATAAGGGTATGCCAAAAAAACGTGTTTGTCCTATGCGAAAATATTACTACGTAGCAATTAAAGCTACTGTTGAGCACGAGCACTTGTGACGTGGCATAATAAGAACTTGGTAACGCGGAAACTACCATACATTTAACCACGTGGCATAACAGGAACCAGCAGATTATACACAATTCACCTGCCCATCTCATCGATTTTGACTACGTTGTTGTTTACCTAAACTATCCAAAAAGAGATCTATCCAAAATGGCTTCACGGTGATTTCGTGAACGCTTTACACACTAAGGTGACGGTCAATTAAGTTTAAGTTTCAATTTTCGAACAGCCATCAATAGGTGCACAGCGTTATTTTGGCAAGCAAAAACCATTCTAATCAATCAACATAAATTCTGAATATTTGCAATCATTTACAAATCATATATTATAAACATAAAACTCGATATCAAAATTAATATGTGAGATAGTATTTGAACATACTTACGATTCATTTTTTAATCATATATTATGGGTGCGCACAAAGTGAGAGAAGGATTCACCCGAACTGAAAGGCCCTGTCAACGTCCAACCATTTTATAAACCTCATCTTCTCAATGCTTCCATCTCCATTAAACACTTTTGAAGTATCAACATTTTGCAATATTTATCCTTAGACTGGAACGAAATGATTGCTAGCCTTAGCCGTTAAAATATGTAAAGTAACAAAAAAAAAAAAATCCTTACCCCTTATAATAAATAAAAATAATAAAAAAAAACAATGAAACCTCCCGTCCGTCACAAAAATGAGAACTTGGATGAACCTCCAATTCAGGTCGTTTGGTTCAGAAAAGTGAATGTAATAATTTTGATAGTTTGAGGGTTTAATTGTTGAGTTTTATATTTCATGAATGAATCGTGCAAAAATTTTATAAATCACATGTGCTTAATGCAATTTTTCCACTCTATATATTGGGAATTTAAAAGTATTCCTTGAAAATTTAAGAATGATTAAGAAATTATCACCATTTTCTACCCAAATCATAAATGATAATTCTCAAAATTATCTTCTGCCTTCAAATTCTCCTTTCCACGTACGTTCCTACCACACAATCATATTTTGCTTATATTTAACCATATATGCATTGGCCTAATTTGTCACCAAAAATTGATTTTCACACATTCAAACAAGTGCAACTGGTTTTACTTCAAAGTTCAACCGGTTGGAAAAGTGCAACTAGTTCTACTTATCCCGAGAGCTATTTTTGTGTAGAAAATGCAACCAATTCTAAACTGAAATGCAACCGGTTGGACTTTGATGAATGTTAATTCCTCACTTACATATCTGTTCCAAATGATGTTTTCATTGATCCGAAGTATGCTTGAACTTGTTGTTCCTCTTCTGACATCGAAATTGAAAGAAAAACAAAAATTACAACTTGATCGAACACATTTTGATGTCAAAATTTATATCTCACAAAAAATTCTTACCACTTATAATAATAATAAAATAAAATAAAATAAAAACAATGAAACCTTCAGTCTGCCACAAAAATGAGAACTTGGATGAACCTCCAATTCAGGTCGATTGGTTTAGAAAGTGAATGTGATACATTTTGATAGTTTGAGGGTTTAATTGTTAAGTTTTATAGTTCATAAATAAATTTCGCAAAAGGTTTATAAATCACATGTGCTTAGTGCAATTTTCCAGTTCTATATATTTGGTATTTAAAATTATTCCTTCAAAATTTAAGGATGATTAAAAAAATTATCATAATTTTCTACCTAAATCATAATTCATAATTCTCAAATTCTCCTTTCCAAGTTCCTACCACACATTCATATTTTGTTTTTTTGTATCTTTATGTACAATAGCTTATATTCAACCATACGCTCATTGAATTCCATACGCCTAATTTGGGTCTGACCAAATTTGCATGTCGGTTGTTATTAACTAATGACTTGTTGGTCTTTTATAAATGATAGACCAATACTTGCCTACCCGGTGAGCAGGATATATCCACTCTATATGTGACATAATAATAGAGCATGTGTCCATTCCGAATTTAAAATACATAAAAAATAACATTTAATATTTTTATTATTATTTTATTTAATCTCAAGAGATTGATCTAGTTCGAAAAGATTTGCCCCTAATTGTTTATAATGTATCATGTTTCAAGATCGATTCCGCCTAAGTGCAAACAATTTCTTATGTTATATAAGAGAGAACCTGCAGATATAATCTGAAATTTACCCGATTCGTATGGGGAGTATTTTGTACAAGTTCGTGAATTAGTCGAGACAAAGCCAGACACCCCGGTTATCAAAAAAAAAAAAAAAAAAAAAAAATTTTACTCATCAAGTATTCTTCAAATTATTATTTCTTCTAGTTGAAATGAATTTATAATTCATTGGTGTAGCTTTGCCGCTTCAAGTAACCCCAATTGCTATTAAAAAAAAAAAACCCATAAAACCCTAAGTTTCTTCTTTCACTTATGCGTCACTTTCATAGCCCATGGCATTTTCAATTACCTAAAAGCATTCACGAAATATCTAACAAGTAGTGGCCTATATAAGAAGCCCCTCCCTAGCAATCTTTAAATCATTGAATCTTAATTATAGCTAGCAAACTTAATTATGGTCTGCATGGATAAACATATAGTTCTTGTGCTCTCAGCCTTTTTAAGTGTCCATGCTCTACTTTTATTTCCTAATGTGGTGCATGGTGACACAATAACATCATGCAGCCAAACACCATACCCTGAAACATGCAATTCTTTTGTTAGTAGTACTATTCAACCTCAGGCAAACCTAGATGAAACCCTATTTGTGTTCCGCGAATCTGCCCTTAGAGTCACCATGGCTCAATCCGAACAAGCCCACAGCCTCGTGTCCGCCATGGACTTGAGCTCATTCAATGAGCGAGCCAAGGCGGCTTGGGGTGATTGTTTAGAGCTTTATGAGGACACAATTTGTCAACTCAATCGCTCTATCGGCTATGACCATTCATTGGGTGCTATTGTTGATGCACAAACATGGTTAAGTGCAGCAATCACCAATCATCAAACATGTCAAAATGGATTTATCGATTTTAATCTATCTTCTCACTTAGAAGCCTTCCCAGTGATGTTAAGTAACTTCTCAAAGTTGCTTAGCAATTCACTTGCTATAAACAACGCTGCAACTTTATCATCATCTTCGTTATTGTCAAAGAAGCAGACTAAGAGCCGGCGATTACTAGCCGATGATGACTTCCCAGAATGGGTTTCAACTGCTGATAGGAAGCTGCTTGAGTTGTCCGGGGCAGCACCACGAGCTGATATCGTGGTGGCGAAGGATGGTTCCGGTAATTACAAGACCATTTCTGAGGCAGTGGTAGCTTCAGTGAAGCTGAGGAGTGGGACTAAGCGATTTGTTATATATGTGAAAAAAGGTGTTTACAAAGAGAATGTCGAAATTAAGGAGTCGATGAAAAATTTGATGTTTATTGGAGATGGGATCGATGCCACCATTGTTACCGGCAGCAAGAACGTTCAGGACGGCTCCACCACTTTCAAATCAGCGACTTTTGGTGAGTATTTATTATTATTATAATATGCTTCTTATGCCCAAAGTTTATTATTGAGAAATAGAGAACCTGAAGAAATAGACAAAATTTACAAATTTCATATTATTTTATTATTATTTAATGCTTGAGGGATGGAAGGGCAGTCCATGAAACCACCTCCTCAAAAAATATTAAAAATCTTTGCCATTTGTGTTAATGGATATATATCTCACACACAAACAAACTGATTTATCAAACCGTTGTAGTGTCACATTAGATAATCAAACAGCTATAGTGTCACATTATATAATCAAATTGATTTGTTGTATCCCGGTCTCATTAAATGAGACAGCCCAACCATAAAGCTTGCAACGTTCACATGATCTAGTCAATTTTCAAGCTAGTTATCATAAGGCATACAACTCATATAATATTAGTTTATACATTTATCTACATAAATGCACGTGTACCAAGCGTGAACAACAAATAAAACAAAATTTCTTGCCTAAGATAAGAAAAATCTTACATAAAACAAAAAAAACTAAATGTCATGATGGATTAATCATACTAACTTCTTTGTCTCTCTCCTCAGCGGTTTCCGGTGATGGTTTCATTGCTCGTGACATGACATTTGAGAACACGGCCGGACCTCAGAAACACCAAGCGGTGGCACTCCGTTCCGGCTCTGATTTGTCAGTTTTCTACAGCTGCAGTTTCAAAGGCTACCAAGACACTTTATATGTCCACTCTCAACGCCAATACTATAGAAACTGTGACATCTATGGCACCATAGACTTCATATTTGGGGACGCGGTTACAGTTCTTCAGAACTGCAACATATACGTGAGAAAGCCGATGAGCCATCAGAGAAACACCATCACTGCTCAAGGACGGTCCGATCCCAATGAGAACACCGGAATTGTGATTCATAATTCACGTGTGACCGCGTCCACGGACTTGAGACCGGTCCTGAGCTCCATCAAAACCTATCTGGGACGGCCATGGAAGAAGTACTCGAGGACAGTGTTCTTGAAGTGTTGTCTAGACGGGTTGATTGATCCGGCCGGTTGGCTTCCATGGAGTGGGAGTTTTGCTTTGAGGACACTGTTTTACGGCGAGTACATGAACACCGGAGATGGTGCAGGAACTGGTGGTAGGGTGAGGTGGCCAGGGTACAAGGTCATAAATAGTGTGACAGAGGCCGAAAAATTCACTGTCGGCAAGTTCTTGGATGGAGATTCGTGGATTTCAGGGACGGGAGTGGTCTTCACTTCTGGACTGTAATATACAGTTGCATATTGTATGTGGTTTGTAAAAAATATCATGTATAGGAAAGTGACATGCGAGTGTCGTTTACTAGTCGTATAGTTTGCGTGACATGGAATGATAATGTAATCTCGTATTGTTTGTGCTGCTTTGTTGCTGTAAATTAGGAAAGATGTCTTGTATTTGGATTTGATTGAATAAAATTGAATTTGATTGAATAAAATTTAAGGAAATTAAAATTATTTTATTTGAATTATTTTTACTATAATACCCATATGAATATATAGTTAGATACTTAGATGTGGTTTTGATTATTGGACTGGGACTTTGTTCAAAAGTTTACTTGAACCTGCCAACTCAAAAGTTCGGCGAACTTTAGCAGTGTATTTAAGGAAAAATTATTACTTTTGGTCGTGGCACGACACAGAAAAGTAATCAACTTTGTTAGTCGAACTTCAGCAGTGTATTTAAGGAAAAATTATTACTTTTGGTCGTGACACAACACAGAAAAGTAATCAACTTTGTCAGTCTAAAGTTTACAATAATAAAATAATCAAATTTGTAAAGTATCACTACAAGTTACAACAGTCAAACGAGATTGCGAGTGCGTAGGAGAAATTGAAATAAATGTTTGCAACACTATTGTTGAAAATTTAATGAAAAGTTATACAGGAATTAAGTACAAATTGTACAAAAGTTTTAAAACTCTTATGTCTTTATTGAAGACGTATTCTCTCTTCTAAAATGGCAGCCAGTACGAAATTAAATTGATTTTAATTCAAAAAAAAAAAAAAAAAAAAATTCATCTTCAAATTACAAAATTATTTGTTTTCTTTAGCCATGAGGCACTAAAGGCCGGAACACAATATTTGCGTAGTGTTGATGGTAGTTTTTGATGATGTGAGGAGATCATTCCACGTCTGTCGGGATGCTAAGATCAGAGGTTGAGTGGAGCTCCAAGTTAGCACACAGAATTCTCTATAGAGGAGATTAAGAGAGAGAAGACAGATTTGCTTAACACCAATGGTAGCTCCTGCCCTAAAAGACCATTACTTATGGTTATGGTTGTGCATATGTATTTTTCAACCTTCCTAAATGGTGCCCTATTTATATTACTTTTATTTAGGTAAGGACCCTTGGTCATGAGAGCTAACTCCCTCTTTATCCAATGGTCATTTTACCTAGGTAAGGACCATTGGTTACGATGGTATATCTTTCTTTATCCAATGGTCATTCTGTGAGATATATATTCAATGTATTATGTGGTTTCTATTACTCGAGCTGTGGGTATTAAACATTCTCTTCCCCTTGTTTAGATCTCGAGGTGAGGTGAATCCTTGGAACTTAGCCACCTAATCACTGATACTCAGATTTCCATAAAATAAAAGGGATTGAGTACAGACATACTGAGATGTATTAGATGTGCCATGCAACGCTAACCCAAGGTAGGAAGTCGTGAGAGATGTTTTCCTAAGATACAGAGGCATTGAGAGAGAAAGAGTCGCTTTGAAGTTGTCCTTGAGTTACAAGGGGTGCGCAAGGAAGAGATTTATTTTACAAGGTGGATACTACTATCGATCAAAACTTTGTCAAGATAGCTATAAACGAGAGGAAAGAAAAATAAGAGTAATCAAACACCCCAAGTGAAAGGAAAAAATATTTGGGCTCATATCAATAAAGTAATAATGATAATTAAAAAAAAAAAAAATTTAACAACCCCCTCGAGGAGATACATAATAATAATAAATAAATAAATAAATAATTTTAGACTATGCAAAAATAGGACTTACTCCCCTGCCCCCTATTTGGCAGAAATGTTGGCACAACAACTTCTAGTAGACAAAAAGGATAAAATTATCCTAAGAGGAATCGTTTTGTGAAGGTGAGCTAATTGAGGGGAGCTCACTAAAGAGGTCAACTTTTGTGAAAATGAGCAGGGAGCTCGTCTGAAGATTAAATTTGCGAATCTCATGGAGGGAAACTCTCTAGATAACCCTGAAGTTGTGGTAAGGACTTGAAATTTGTAATAAAGGATTGCGTTGAGGAACTTCTAAGACTTGGAAATAATTAGCATGAAAGACGCAAGACTAAGAAGCTTAAGTAGGGTTATAATTCGTGAAGAGTTACCGAGAAGACAAAGAACCACGCATAGAAGGTTCGACTTTTAAGTGGATAAAAATGAATAAATAAATAAAAATAAAATATGGGTTGATGACGAGTGAATAAATCACTTAAAGAAATTTTAATAAGTTGAGTGACCTTTTAAGTTGTTTGTTGGCAAAAATGAACAGGATGGGTGGACCAGCGCTTAAGAAGTGAACCAAAAGGAATGAAAATTAAATTCATATATAAATCCAGTGTTAGAGAAAAATAAAGAAACAATAAGAAAATAAGATAAAACAAATAAATAAATAATGAAATGAAGAGAGGGTCCTTGAATCATGGACAACAATAACAATATTATTTTGTAATTATTACTACAATACTCTTTTGTTGAAATGACTGCTAGACCTATCAAGCCGCGAGGAAGTGCTAGATCGAAGCAGCACTCGTGTAACAAGAGGAGCTGGCACGCATTAGAGCTGTGATGGAACACTAATCTGGAACATCGCTTAAGCGTTAAAGGCAAAGACAGGTGACCTCGAGGAGATTGCAGAATTCTTGAGAAATCAATGGTTCTGGGGGTTAATAGGTGAAAGCATGAGTTCCAGTAGTGCCTAGAAGTATGGTTTATAAAACAATACATTGACATAAATCTTGTTCGAGGGAGAGGTAAGAGGATGGTGCTTCTTTGAGGGAAGTGTCGAGGCTCCAGGCTTGTGATATCCCTCGGATCCGAGACACGGGTTAATCAGGCCCAGGCCCAAACCCGAAGGATATCAACCAATTAAGGTATTTTAAATCGAACACGGAATACAAAGTGAAATACGAAAATAATATAATAAGCTAAAAGAAACTAAAAGAAAATCCTTGTGTCATAATTAATCAAATCCGATAATCCAAAACTCTATAAGTTTACAACTCGGGAATCCATCCATTGGACTCCTTATTAATATTCTCAAACCAAAACTGAAATAATAGAAATAAAATCCAAAGCTAACATAGAGAAGATTCCTACATAATTGGAGGAATGAATATCTGTATCTGCTCTGCACGTCCAAGCTCTAACCCTGGAATTAACGAACACCTGAAAAATAAAGGAATGGGTTAGGCCCACATGCAAGTCCTGATCTACTACAATCCAAACATCAATCCGATACGCAGATACATCCTAGGAAGACTCAACAAGTGGGTCAGGCCCACCTTTATGATTAATCCATACCTTAATCCAAATTAGGTAGAACTTAGTGTTTGAACTAGTCCATACCTAGTATGTCACTGTCCCATACCGGGACATACAATCCTCCAGTTAACGCAGTTGATAAAAACAGTAAAAAGTACTTATCAACCAAACTCCAGAATTAGCATAAATATAGTTTAACATGTATATAACCAACTTATGCATTCAATATAAGATTTAGAATCCTAATTATAGTCCGTTAAATTGATAAAGTAGGATTACCCAATCTACCTCTCCAAACAATACCATAACTGATGCAATGTAAAACAGATTTTAACACCAGTTAATCCCAACTAAGCATACATATAACTATACAACAGTATGCTTATAACATAGATGCAAAACATGATTTATAATTCTAAATCATGCAGAGAAATTTAAATTTCTAAAACAGTAAGCAAATTACCAGTTTATGCTAGACCTTTCTCCTACATGTTTACTTTGAACCTTAGGTTAATTCCATACTAAATTTCTGAATGTAAGCTTATTTTTCAACCTTTTTATAAGTCTTAAACAATGCATTATATCCTCCAGTAGCATTTAAATAGTTTTAGAAAACCCAATCTCAGCTAAACAGCCCATAAAAATTAAATTCTGTGCGTTTTAAGGTGGAGCAGGCTAAAAAATTTGGAGCCTGCTCTATTTTTCACTTAGAGCCGGCTCTAAACCACTTAGAGCCGACTCAAAGATACTTAGAGCTGGCTCAAAGACACTTAGAGCCAGCTCCAACTCTTTGGGAGCCGGCTCTAAGGGATTTGAGAGCCTGCTCTTTTTTCCCTTAGCAGCCATTGTCTGTTCCAGCTTCGTCTTCTCCGATTCTGGTGACTACCAGAGCCTCTGTAATATGTTTTAATTCTTATTCTAGGTTCAATCTCAGTCCTAGGTACATATTAAACCACTGGTATTCAATGATAGCATGCATGGAACATAGGTTTAGAAGCAACGATCACAGAACCTTAGTCTGAAATTTTAAGCAACCCACAATAGACTAATTTGGTGAAATCAAATACTGTGTTAATTACTTATTCAAGGGTTCATTTAATGTCTCAAACTAATCCTCATAAATATATATTAACAACAAGAATTTAACACAAGATTTAAAACAATCCGCAACAAGATTTCAGTTAAAACTTTTAAGCAACACTAAAACAGATTAATTCAATGGAACTAAAAACTGATTTAAACATGCATATTGGATGAATCATAGCATTTGTTTCATCTATTTTAATCTTTGATTAATCCCTAGAGTCTTAACTAGACATGCACAAACACGAATTAACGGGAGAGAGAAGAATAGAGACTTGCCTTTGAGAGTATGAATTAAAATCTCTAACTGTCGTCTCTATCAACTCCGGCAACGTCAACTTGTTATTATCAACCTCTGTCGCTCCTAGTTAAATCCAAAACTCCTTGAATCCCTCCCTTAGTCTCCTAAGGTTCTCTCTGTAAATTACGCAAGCTCCTTCTCTATTTCTCTGCCCTCGCAACTCTCTGTATGACTCTGTTACGTGAATAGGGTTAACAAACCCTTGGCAGACGTATGCTTACATTTATAGGTTTTACGTGAAACCCTAAATTAAATCCTAAACCAACTATATGTCGGCTCCAATCCTAGACACGATGTAAAACATAAAACCCTAATTACCAAAACACGTAATTAATTAAACTTGAGAAATACATTTAAATTAATGTAACAAACCAAAAATACAAATTAAGCAATTAATTAAAGAAAACACAATTTCATTGAATTAAAATAAAGTAAATTAAATAAGCAAATAATTAATTAATTAACACAAGCAAATAAATGTATTAAAAATGCACATAAATAATTAAAACAAATTCTAAAACTATCATTTAAAATTAAAGGTATTACATTCTTCCCCCCTA